GTACATAGACTGTATAGAAGATGGACGTAGCTACCGTGACGTCACCCGTTGGTTTCTGCACTGAGAAAATGAAGCCAGGGTTTTGCTACGTCCTGGTTGACATCTTGGATTTCTGGAGCCAGTGATGCAAAAAACATCGGAGGGAGGCGGAACCATAGGAGCAGCGATTGGTCAGACGGATTGAGAGGCAGGCCCTCTCTGCCCGCCCACATTTATCGCCTTCTGCTCGCTTCATCTGCATCATCGCTGCCGACTGTCAATCAAGCCAGCCACGCCCTTTGCCCCGCAAAATTTTGACCATTTAAAAAATTTCAGTATTGATTTATTTTCAGATTGGCCGCCTGATCTCTGAATTTGATTATGAAAACAAATTTTTTTTAAAATCCTGAGCTGTAGGAATGCGGTATTTCGTGGTCTGTGATCACTTCTTTTCTAATTCAAGTCTATTGGAGCCAGGGCTTTTTGGAGCCAGCAACTAGCGGACATAGTGATACTGCCAGTTTTTGACACTTGGCTTCATTTTTCAGGGTCGGTTGCTACGTCCATCTTTTTTACAGTCTATGATACTGTCCATAGTCTAGCTTGCTGTCACTTACTCTGCAGCCACGGAGTCACAAGAAGCATGTCTGGGATCACGAGCGCCCCCTGCCATGAGGCAAGAGAACTGCCTGCCTCACCTGGAACCTCTTTTCAGCCGTTCACTCAGCACACGAAACACGTTGGTAACAAAAAACACTGTTCATTATTATATACATCAGCTGAACTATGGAAAATCAGTTCATATAGTAAATGTGTTTGAACCATGTTATTGGCGACATACAGACAGCAGCACGCTGACACTGCAGGCAGCCAGCAGGTAGTGAGGGATTGCGCAATCCAAGTGAGGCTCAGCTCGCTGCTGCCTCCCCAGTTTTTCTTCTAAGCATTTGAATGGGAAATTGCGAAAATTCAGCGATTTTGAATTTAAAAATCATCAAAACTGACGAGCTAAATTAAAAAATAAATACTTTATAGTACAAATCACTGGATAAATATAACCATTTAAATTATTTTATCATTATACATACATACATACATACATACATATATATATATATATATTCCATGAAGTCAGGTGAGGGACATTTGTCATGCATTTGGAGCCAAAAATATGTCAACTGTTCAGAAAATTTGTTAAACATCGTACACATGTCTATAATGAATACCAACAATTATTTTGCACATATTCTTTCTTGGGGTCCAATGGACCCCCAAAGACCTTCTACGTACGGCAACATGAAAGTCCTGAATAGGGTTAAGATAACTAACCATGCAAGAAGAAGAATAAAACACACCGTAGCAAGATTTTGTGTCACATAATCATGAATGCAGGAATGTTGGAGCTGAATCTCAATCTACCAGAAATTACACTATGTGTAAGATGGCTCCTGCACATTCGTTTAATGAAGCAACAGGAGAAGATATTTAGGTCTCACTCAATGTATTTATTTATCAGATAGTTGAATAAGCATACAGAGCTCTGGATCAAACCTCATACCCTAGCACCAACAAAGTTAATGTCAGGGCACGAAGTCTGACTGACTGCCTCTCCCTGATCCAGTGTACTTACACTATTACACGAGAATGTGCACAGAATGTGTTGCAGTGAGCTGATTGGCCCCTCCATGTCCTTGAGCCTTCTTTCACCATCTCATAGGTGCAGAGACTTGCCACTCTGCACCCTCAGTTTCTCCCTCCTACAGATACCTGCTTGTGACAGAGAAATACACAAACCACCAAATCCTGTCTCCACTTACGCTTTCTCATGCTGCAATTGTTTATCAATTGTGTTGATTATGCCTTAAGATAATGTGAGATTAAGATAATAAAAGGTGAGGAGAGTAACACCAAATTATCAAAATATGAAATAATGTGCGATTAATATAATAAGAGGTGCAGAGAATAATACTCGATTATCTAAATATGAATTAAAGATATATGTAAAATATATATATATACATATATATATGATCCTGACAGGAACCCCTTGACGGTTATTTACCATCTGTTGGCACGTTTCATAAGCTTCTCTACCGAATAACATCAGCTTTTTGTCATCAAAATGTTCAATGATAAACTAAAGATAGTGGGCAAATCTAAGATAAAACATGTCAGTAATTCATTTGTGTTCAAGTTACCGCACATTTGAATTTGACACTCACCCTCTCAGAGTGTCCGTAAGTGCAGAGTGGAAGTGAGTGAAGAGGTGTGCTTGTTTTATGTTCCAGCCACTCCTGTCACAGACACTACCACAATACTCTGTTCACCCCGCCCCCATAAAGCAGCACTCCTCACAGAAACTACTCAATGACAAGACAGTATTTCACCTGGGGGGCGAGAGAGGGCCAATCAGATTCCAGCAGGGGCATTGTCCCTGTGGCCCCTCCCCTCCCTTCACCTATGGTCGGGAGCCCTGTATAGGCACATTGCTATGTTATTATAACATAAATTATAAGGCCACAAGGTGGCGGTGCTGCACCGAGCCGGCTCTCAGCGTCCGGACTACGCCAAGAAGAAGAGACGTCACTTCCGGTGCTTCTGCCGGCGGGAAGCTGTAGTTGCACCACGAAGGCTCGGTCCGCTCATCATGTCCCGCATTCTGAACGGGATCGTGGCAGTGTGTCCCGACCTGGGCATGGGCAACAACGGACACCTGCCATGGCATCCGGTTCGACTCGGGTGAGTCGAGTTGGTCCGTTTCAGTAGAACCACAGAGAGCTGCTCAGCCCGGCTCACAGGCTGAACAGCTCTCTGTGGTAGACAGATCCATATCTATCTATCTATCTATCTATCTATCTATCTATCTATCTATCTATCTATCTATTTGCGTAAGAACTACACCGACCTCTGCTTTTCTTTTATAGCAACGAATTTGCGCATTTCCGGAAGATGACAGCCACTTCATCTGTAAAAGGTAACTCACATCCAGCTCGTGTTCCGGTTCGAATATTTGGGTTCGGAGTTGATGGGTGACTTGGTTCCAGTGAGCAGCAGCATTATCAGCTCAACATTTTGCAAAGACGGTTCATTTTAGCCCCGCCCCCTTTAGGAAGAAAACTCTCTTTCATTGAGTGGAAGGGGCAACAACTTCCACCACACAGCTGCTGACATCTGTGGCTGCTAACTTTGTGTCCATGTGACTGTTGGACATGGACACAGCATGTTGAGGTTACAAAAGGAGCAGTTCAGCGGTGGAACTGAGAAATGGGCTTGAAGTGACCCCGCTTAACATGTAATGTTAACAGGCTACGTTTTTGTCAGTATCTCATACTCATTCTGTTGTCTGACAACTGCACACAAAAAATGCAAACAGCTTTATTGAAAATCGGGCTGTATTAAAATACAACATATGTGCACTGAAGAAGAAATGCAAACAAATGTACACACTGGTTTAGTTTAGGATTTTGTATTATCAGTGCTATGGGGAGAATTGCTATAAGTCCAACCTTTTTCCAGAAGTCTAGATTCTGAGGGAATTTTCAAGTATTGTATTGCCTTTATGTAAAGACAATTCCACAAGTAAGGGACATGTTAAAATAAAACAAAATTAAATATACAAACATATGTAGCTTCCCAAAAGTAGTACTTAAGTTTTGGAAACTTAGTTACAGTCAATAGGTAACAAATTTAGGATGCTGACGAACCCAATTTTACATCACTGTTGGGAAACAAACCTGAGATTTACAGACCAAATTTGAAGCACAAGAGCATGTTTTACCATGAGTAGTCACACAGTCTGATGTTAACTTCCACTCAATGACTGCAGCTATAGTAGCGATTACTGGGTTACTTCTTCTATATGTAGATATCATCCAGATGTGGACATGAAAAAAACAGCCAGTTACTGAGATGACTTTAGCACTGACCTGTAGAGTTTTGCTCCACTTACGGAGACTAACGTTTTTTGCAGCAGTCCCAGTAAACACAGAATAAGCCAGTAAAGGTGGGCGGCAGAGAGGCCTTGGGGACTGAGTCAGTCTGGTCAATCACTGCTCCCTGGTTCCACCCCTTTCTCTAAACATGGTCTCTTCTGGCTGTAAGAAAATCCAAGATGCTGACCAGGAAGTAGCAAACTCCTGACCTTACTGTCTCAGTCCCAACACCAGGGGGTGACGTCACAGTAGCCATGTCCATCTTTCTTACACAGTCTATGATGGGAACCAAAGTAGCGCATTTAATTTTCACTAATCGGAAAAATGCCAAATATCAGCCAGTAATAATCAGCCAGCCAATAGTCAGTCAGGTCAATAATCTGTCTATTCCTGCTCAGTTGCTCATAAACATTATTTGACCATGCCTATAAAATCAGTGTTTTATTATCATTGCCTTCTCTGATAAAATAAAACCAAAACAGGTTAAGGACTCCACTGTCAGTTACAAAATTTAAAATGAATAACAGAGAAAGTTAGAGATTGATTGTGAATGAATTCAAACCTTGCTGTCTTGCAGGCAAGCAGAATGTGGTGATCATGGGCAGGAAGACATGGTTCTCTATCCCAGAGAAAAACAGACCTTTGAGCAACAGGATCAACATCGTCCTCAGCAGAGAGTGCAAGTACGTGTACCACAGTTCAGTCAAAGCAACAAAAGTCAATACAGCAGTACTAAGAGTCCATCTTTTGTTTTTTGAATTCTTTGCATGTCCGTCTTTGTTGAGGAGGACAGACTCAATCTGCCTCAGCATGGAGGATACCGGTGGCCACAATTTTCTGGGGGATAAGAATCACTAGATGATCCTTAACACAATGCAGAATTGTGCCCCAGTGTGGCAGAATTGTGCCCCAGTGTGGCACAATTCTCATTTTCAACTGCACAATAACCTTGTCCACTTCCTGCCTCTGCAGCACAAAGGAATCACTCACCTCTATCACTCTATCACCTTCTTCAACTTAGCCAATTCATATCATTCAGCGCAGTTGTCTGAAAGGACAGCGTACTGAGAACAGCTGATGAAACTGCTGAACTCTAGAAAAATAATATTTTAACTATACCTACATCAAACATAGATACAACAGTATCACTAGCAGTAACCAAATGGAAAACAATTTGGCTTTTTCCTCCAACTGTGAGTTGTAGACAGGAATGTATAACGATCTATGCTGTGACTCGCAATACAAATTTACAACTTTGACAGTACAAGACCATTCACAGGACTCAAATGAGCTGAACCAAAAAAAGACATCTACAAAGCACTGATGGTTACTTCCTCCCACACTGACCAGACGACCAGTTTGTCAATGCCTGGATCAGTCTTCGCACAGAATACATAACACTAGAGAAAGTAACGGTCAGTCTGTGTCATTTCAGGTTGGGTGTTGCTCCAACAACTCACATTTTGTTCAGGGTTTGCTTATTTATTATTTGGGACTAACAACAAAGGTCTCTTTAAGCAAAAGGAGACTGTCATGTTTTCAAACCAGAAAATGTCTTATCTTTCAAGCAGAACTAAATGAAAATGGAAAAAAAGTGCAAAATTTTAAAACACGGGTGCCTTTGGGCACCGGAAATTTCCTGTAAGTGTAATTACATAGATGCATCTGTATTTCCTCCCTAAACATAGTCTTTGTCAACTTTTCACAACTTTTCGGGCCTCTAACATCAGTACAGTCTGATGCGTGGCAAGTATCAGAAGCCAGCATTAAAGTTTTATTGTGTTTGTCAAAATGGTGAAAAAAATTGGTGTGCATAGTGGTTCATACATTGTCTCTATGCAAAGTAAGAAGTTGTTTCCATGTTGTCAATATGTGTAAATTTACCAACATATGAAGCACTGAATTTTTCATGTTCTGTAATAATGTTTTCTGAGCAATATCTGGCAATATGATTTCCTCCCAAATGAATAAACATTTGTCTTATCTTAACTAATCATAGACGCATAAATGGGAAATATACCAGGTGGAACAAAAACGGAATTACCCTTTGACTCCTTACATACCATGATTGCCATTTAGCAGGATGTTACGCTGCTTAGGCATCTTGGCCAAAATGTGCTGCAGTGAAATGTTTCTTTGCAAATAAATGCAAGTATTGCTCAATTCTAACTGACCTAACTGCCAATCTTCCTCCAGAGCGCCCCCAGCAGGAGCACACTATCTGGCAGCAGATTTCAACTCAGCGCTCAGGCTCGTTGACGTGGAGCTGGCTGAGCAGGTTGACCAGGTCTGGGTTATTGGAGGAAGCTCCGTCTACAAGGTACCTCCATCCGTTTTTTTCTCCCTACCATTAGTTTGGAGTCTTGCTGGAAAATTGTGAAAAATCAATATTTTTTTTAGGTAACTGGTGTATAGTGGGTTTAACTATCTTAGAAATATTCTATAGGTAGTTACTGAATATTTAATGTGATTGTTACACTGGTTGCTGCTGTCAGTGACAGGTGGTCAACCAATTCAGCATGAGCTGCAGTTACACACATCTCTTGCACAATTCAATTCAATTCAATTCAATTCAATTTTATTTGTATAGCGCAGTTTGCAACACGTCATCTCACAGTGCTTAACAAAGTACGGTATAGACCTTACAAATTTATACAGAGAACCCAACAATCCAAAGTAGCCTTTGGACTCCCTCTGAGCAAACAGATGGCAACGGTGGGAAGGAACCAAAAAACCTCCGGCAGAACCAATCTGCTGCATTAGTTTCTCTTTTGTAATTTATTTTTTCTCTTTAATTTGTATCTTTTTGTTTTGGTTGTTTGTTTGTTTGTTTTTAAGAATCTGGTGGGTTTCCTAGCTGGGGTTTACAGATTTTTGTTTTTTAGCACACCCAGAACTTTCTTCTTTTATTGACTATGTTGTGATTGCTTTGGGCTACCCAGGAGTTGATGGAGAGGCCGGGAACCAGGAGAATATACGTCACACGAATCCTGAAGCAATTTGTGTGTGACACATTCTTCCCGGAAATCAGTCCTGAAAAATATCGCCTATTGCCAGAGTAAGACCATGACCATGCTTGGCACAGTTTTGAGGGAATTAAGAGTTTGTATCACTCAAGTCTTTAGTAGTTTGGGCCCTTAGGTCTTTCAGTTATTAGAACATTGTGTTAGCCAAGTTGATTGCTGAGATCTCAGTAATTTAAAGTGTTTATCTGGAGACCAAACAGAAAGTGAGCTAATGACCTCTCATGTCACTGGACTTAATAAGTGGAGTGAGCACAGCAAGGCCATATGAAGCAGTTTGGGAAATCATTTTTCTGTTTGCCTTTCTTTTCATGGCCAAGTAACATTTGTATTGTTTTCCTCTGCAACTTTTCTAAAGCAAATATATTAAAAGCACATGTTCTTCTCCAGGTTTCCAGAAGTGCCACAGGAACTGCAGGAGGAGAATGGTATCCAGTACAGATTTGAAGTCTATGAGAGCATCTAGTAATGAGCAGGCACTGAGGAAAACAGCCAATGTGATTTTTGTTATTGGACACCAGCACTGGCCCTTGAACTTGTAATTTTTCCAAAAAAAATGTATGCACTACAGTTGTGTTTCTCTTAGTGTTGAAATAAACACTGATTTCTTGCGATTTAATCCATCTTGGTTTGTTGCACAATGCTTAATCTCAGTTCATCTTCCTGTGATTTGTGGATCAACTCCAGACTGTTCTTTGTCACCACTAGGTCAGACAAATAACATCTTTAAATGCAATTGAACCTGGTGTCAGAGATTGATGCTTGGTTGCTGCCCAACCCTTGTGTAAACTAGAACTGAAGGTAGTGATGGATTTTTGTATTTTTTTTTTCTTGAATTTATTTTTTAATCCAAAGCAAAGGAACTGAATCACATCTTTGAGCACAGCCTAAATGTGTTCACTGAAACCCAGACTAAAGGTGTTTATGGGACTAGCAGTTTAAGGTGGGATGATGTCCCTCTACAACCATTTGACTACATGATCATAGCAAGGTTCAAGTGATCTTAAAACCAGAACAAGGCTTAATCCACTAAAATTCTTCAATGACTGGGCTACAAGTATAAATAAACAATTTTGTTTTACACATAAATTGACAAATCACAACACGTTATCTCAGGATACTATAGATAATGGGATCTAATCGTATTACAGAGAGAAACCCAAACATTCCAATTGCAAATGCAAAAAGTCTCCTTGAAGTGCACAGATCTGTGTGGATGTGGAAGAGCCTAAAGCAGACAGTGAACAAAAAGTCAAAAAAAACAAACGTGTCTCTAAAGTAATTTTAAAAAAAAATCTGTCTGCACTTTAAGTTGAGAAGTTAGTGACATACAGTAGTGATTCATAAGTGCAAGAATGGATGTAAAGTGTTCCTTCCTTCATTCAGTCATTCATACATTCATTCCTTCAAGTAAGTTAGTTGAGAACTGCTTCTCATTATCAATAACGACCCGGTTACGAGGCGGCATACAAACAAGAAGTACTCGAGTATAACTACATATTGACACCAGCACATGAACAAACTTACCAAAGACAGATTGATTAGCTAGATTGAAAAGAGACTGGACTGTAGGAGTAAAAGCAATTATGAAGAGAGATATAAGATTAGGAGGCCCCATGCAATAAAATGGTATGATAAAAATAAACCAAGACATGTCTAAGACAACTTCAGGAAGAACTAAAATCAAGACAGGAAAAGATGAGTTTTATTTTGATTTAAAATTGCAAATTTTTTTTTTTTTGGGCCGCCACTATAGCTCACCTGGTTGAGCTAGCGTCCCATGTACAGGGCTACAGTCCCGATGTGGAGGTCATGAGTTTGGGTCCCGCTCATGGCCCTTTTCCACATGTCCTCCCCCTCTTCTTCTCCCCCACCTTTCCTGTCTTTCTCTCTCACTGCTCTATCCAATAAAAGCACAAAGGCCAAAAAAAAACAATTGCAAATGGTTTTAAAGTTAAATTGGAGACTGTTCCGGAGCTGCTTTCCTGTCTACAACATTATATTGTAAGGTCTTAAATTACGGACAGATCTATATCTTCCTTTGTTGAGACAAATCCTTTTCACTGTGGAGAGACAGCTGCCCTGTGTTGATTCTGTGCTGATCGTGAGCTCAGCGGACACCTATTCTAACCACCTGGGGTCTTTCAGTCAGGAAGTCCAGGATCCAGCTACAGGTGGGAGTCGGGACACCAAGGTCTATCAGCTTCTCTATCAGCTTGGATGGCTGAATGTTGTGGAGAGAGTGGAGAACATCAAGTTCCTCAGAGTGCAGATCTTACAGGACCTGAGCTGCAGTGTTCTTATTCCAGCTCAGGTCCTGCAAGATCTGCACTCCGAGGAACTTGATGTTCTACTCTGAGCTACTCTGTAGAGTGCAAGTATTTGTAAATCTGATTCTGATGAAGTCAGTGCCTCACCAGCCATGAACTTCACTGCACATCACTGGTCAGAACGCTCTCCACCACACCTCTGTAAAAAGTCCTGAGGATGCTGGCAGGGAGAGAGGCTTGTTTCAACTTCCTCAGGGAATGCAGTCTCTGCTGGGACCGTTTGATGATTGCTGCAATGTTCTTGTTACAGCTTAGGTCCTGCAAGATCTGCACTCCGAGGAACATCAAACTGCTGATCTAGATATGTAAACACTTCTTTATTTAAATTGCTTAAAGTTATTGGATCCTGAAGAAACGCTCTCTCATCTTGCCTGTACTACTGTGTATGTATAGCAAAATGACAAACTTGATTTGGACATATAATATGTTATTATATATGCACTGTATTATTATTATTATTATTATTATCGTTATTATTATTATCGTTATTGTTATTGTTGTTGTTGTTGTTGTTATAATTTTGCAGCAAGACATCTATCCATCCACGCATTGGAAATGTCCAGAAAATTTGACTTGCCTGTGCTCTAACTGACCTGTAAACATTTCCCCATACCTACGAGTCTTTTAGCTTTTCATTCAGACCATTACAGCCAAGAACAATATTTAATTTGGTATCAGTTCTTAAGAAAACCTCTTGCTTTTGGAGATTAATCACTGTTTCAGAGGGAAGACAAGGCAGTAGCATGCCTTAAGGCTGTTACTATGTTGCTAGCTTGAAAATATTAGTCCTTTTCAATCTGGTATGTTTTATAGTGACATATTTTATTAGTACTTCGCAATCACTGGCTTCTGAATATGGTAACAGGTCTATGAAGTGAGTGAAGCTTGCTGCTGTGCAATCGTCACCAAAATAAATGTGCTTGCAGCCTTGAACTTTGCGGTGACGTTGACGGCACTATTGTCAGTTCACACATCAACAGTCCTGAAGGTGAAAAGAAATGAGTCTTACCTGCGCAAATGCTTTACTAAATGCCATTGTCTGCACTGGGGGTGCTCACAAAAGGATGTGCTGTCATTGGCTGTACGCTTCCTGCTTCTCGACTGCCATAGGCTAGCCTTGTGCTCTCATCTGACGTATATTCGTCTTCACTCCCTCCTTTCATCAGTCACACCCCTGTACAGATGTCTGGTCTCCCTACTGGTTTCTGCTCAGTCTGCACACTGACAGTGGCCTATGAACTGGAGGGGACCTGCAGTTTAAACAGTTTTCACAGTGAAGAATGAGACACCTTAAGGTAAGTTTGCGCACATTCCAACAATAACAGTACAAGCACTTTATGTGCCACTAATTTCCTCCAGTTTTGTAGGATATGAAGTATCATTTAATACTGACAGCAGACAAATAATATTTAAAGAAAATAAAGTATTGATCTTTATATGTACAGTATATCATCTAAGTCTTAGAATGTATGCCATGAAATAAGAGTTATCAGTGTGGATGGTTCATTAGGTTGTTTTGAGTGACTATGATATATATATTTATATATACAATATACTCTACAAAGCAAATATGTAGAACATATACATGTCACACATATTTGCTTTGTTTGACAGCCATAGGTGGATACTATTTGGAATTGGTCTATGCACTGGTATGTACTTGAAAACAGGCAGCAGAAGGTTCCTATCAAGTCATGTTTTGAAATTTGCTTTGGTCAAGAATGGACAGCAGACTGCTGAGTTACATGTGACTGGTCATCTCATGTTTGGCATTGCACACAGCCTTCCACTCGACTACATGATAAGTAGCTCGTAACACATCCATAGGTGCACATGCATACAGAAATGTACATACATATAAATCATAATGATAATATTTTAGTCTGTCATTATGAAAGCTGTAACCGAGAGAGAGAAAAAAAATCTGGCCTTCACTTGTGGAGAGATAAAATGTTAAGGAATGACATTTTCGCTACTGCCTCCATGATTAGCTATTCTGTCTGTGTTGGTGCTGGTTGAAGGCCAGGCTTGACCCCTCAGAGAAGCACAGATGGGGGTTTGAATGTCACCATGCAGAAAATGCTGCTAAAATATCTTGCTTCTCACACAAACACTACAGTTTCTGCAAATGAACCGTCATAGCATTGTGCAAATGCTAAAAACTACTCGAGTCATTCAGTACTGTGCAATCATACAGTAAGAACACTACAAGATTAAAATATATTTTATGTACTCTATCAATTAGCTGCCAGTCTGGGTTCTAGCTCCAGTAGTAGAACTAAACAATTTTTTTTCAGTGAGTACTATAGCACTGTAAGGGATTCTCGACTTTACTGAGGAATCTACAATCTTTATGGTTTTTGATTTGGGAAATATAGTACATTTTACTCCTCCTTGTTAGTATTATTACTTTGTGGATTAAGATTGTGCTTAAAAAATGATGCTCATCTCCCAAAATCCAATGCAGTATTATAGACTAAACCAGCAACAATTTACTGGATACAGCAAATAAAATAGGCTCAGCTTGGTTGTTTGTACCAATCACTTGTATGCATATTTATAATACTTTATAGCTGCACTAGTCAATACGTGGTTTTACTCTAAATCAAATGACTATAAATATATGTGAAAGGGGTCACTCAAAATGCAAACCCTGTGGACCCAGCTCTGTGGTGAATGTTGCTGCTCTGTTAGGACACTGATCTGTTTTACAGCCCACAAACTGCTCTTGGCAGCCTTGTTTTGAACATTTTAAGTATTTGGAGAGACACTGCAGGCTACATGTTGGACTCTTGCCAGTAATACTTATCATGTTTCAGGACTTGCAAGCCACTGTTTCTGTATGTAAACAAGATGTTGTGAATGAAAGGAAAGCTGTAAGCTTAAGTGGTGGTGGGGCTCCGTCTTTTTCCTTGGAAATAGTATGAGTTAGCAGATGCATGTGCAGAGGGTGAGGATGTGTGAATAAATGTAGACACTCCTGTTCTGAAGGTGATTCTCAGATAGTTACAGGCTCATTGTAATCAAATAAAATATAATTTCTATTTCTCTACTATCTACTTCAATTTTACCATTGTTTCATCCTGGCATGCACTGCTCCTGTAATGTGCCCAAACTCAGGAGGACAAATATGGGGGGATGAGGCATTTATCTGTTTTATGTCTTGTCATATTAGGCTGCAGTCAGATCGTAAAATGAAATACAGCTCGATGTTACAGGGTGTGCACTGAAAAGTACATTATACAACACTACCCTTCTTTATATTATATTATTATATATTATATTATTA